CCAACATTATTTTTAAATGTGAAAAACCAAAGCGCTGCGGTTGTCTCATCAATTTAAAGCTGTATGATATAGTCCTTGTGTATATCATGTATTTAAACGCTGTCACATCATTTTGCACATTTGGGAGAAATGGGAAAACTTGAGGGAGTTGTTGGGCTTATTGCTGTTAGGCTTTTATGCTCATATCCACTTTTTTAAACTACGATCACAATAGGTTACGCCATTTTTGGTAACCATGTTTTTTTTTATACTTAAAGTATGCAGTAACTTTTGTACTGTACATTGCTGTAGTCTGATTGCATATTGCACTTTTTATGTTAACGTACTGTATGTGTCGATTACGAAAATAAACATGTTTTTTTTTCATTATATGCGTAAAATGTGTGTCTCATTATGATTGCGATTACTCTTAAAAAGGGCCATTTTGATTATCGATAATTCGCCTAAACTTTAAATCTTCTGGGAAGTCGAGCTGGGAGGACGAACACAACCAAGAAGGAAGGATTACCTTACAAGCTCCAGCACGCACATGTAGCTGGTTTAGGGTCTTTGCAAACGGGAAAAGTGCCATGAACCTTAATATTTGGCCAGTGACTTGACTTTGATGGAGTTCGTGTGTGTGTTACATCATTACGTCACCGTGCTGTCATCTGTGTGCTTTGGCTGGAGAACGTTATTTGGAATTCCGAACAACAGCCAGGTTATATAACATTCAGTTTACCCCTCCCTGTTTGCGTAACATCAATGAATGACTTAAGTTTCACGCTCTTGTTGCTCTGCTGCCCCCGACCGACCGTGCGTGCCTTTCGACTGAATAATAGGTCTGTGCACAATAGCATGTGATGCGACGCTGTCATATGGTAGCGCCTGTGTGACTGTAGCATAAATATTTTCATGTCTCAGCATTGTTATGCATACATTGTTTCCAGGAAGTGCGTCTCGCTAAAACATGCTTTAGGTTTTGAATTTATAAACTATTTCAAACGAAATGTTACCCGAATAGAATGACATTTGTTTGTATCTAACCCTAACGCAAGATTAAATATGATAAACATAAAATACCAAACTGTTCGTAAATCGTATTGATCTGACTGTAGGTATTTCTGTAACGTGGCCAATGATTAATTGTGATTATTTGTGCAGTGCGTTGGTTTAAAGCGGCTGCTGCTGAATATGAGGAAGAGATGTTTGCAACACAAAACAATTAGTAGAAGCGTGCAAACAAACCGCACGTCCTCCAAAACAGTGGTTTTCGGTCTCCGGTCACGAGGTGTGGGTCGGGCCCTCATCTTGTAATTCCTGGTCTCCAAACCACCACGTTTGTTTTATTTTTCAAGTATGTTTCCTGTTTGCATGTTGCTGTAGTTACAAATGAAAAGGGTTCCAGCTATATAGCATACAACTTCTAATTCACGTCGACTGTAAACTGGGATGCCAATAATTACTGACCATATTTTCCAAACATTAAATTTTACCCAACTTCTTGATAAAGCAGCAAACAGTAAAGTTATGTGAATTGTATTCAATCTTCACATCTTTTTTGTAGTTATTCATTTTGTCTATTTACTTTTGGGGGTGATTGGTACTTCAACTAAACAACACACATCTGGAAAATCACACTCTTATTCCCAAAGGAGTAAATCTCAAGTGTTTTTTGTTTTGTCATACTTTAGGCCCTTTCACACCAAAACAACCAAAATCAATCCACTATATTGTACACTATATTTACATGTGGCCCCCCACTCTCTTTGCAGTAGAGCATCTTTTGTTGTTTCTCTGATTTGAAAAAAAAGAAAAATTTTGTTTTTTTTTCAATTTAATTACATCAGTTAAAAATAAAATAAAATCATTTCATATTAACCGTTATTGTGAAAAATCAGGAGAAAATGTGAGGCCAATAAATATCCATAATGGGTTTTTCAAGACTGGAAAAAGTAAGTTTACACGTTTGACTGCAGCATAGCTAAATGAACTGTGACATCACGTGGCTATAAGGCACCCACTGCTTGCGTATTTCAGGGTGGACAGATCATCTCTGAACAAGCAACAAAGAACATACTGTCGGTCCTGCCAGTGGGACTGAGCAAACGTTGGATACACAGATTCACTCCACATCTTCTAACTGGTAAGTGTAATCCTTCGCTGACCTGTACATGATAGGAGATCATTATTAAATCCTTTATATTGGATTGACTAAAGCTAGAGGTCCCAAAAAGAGAAATACTGTAGCCTGCTATCCACTTTAGGAAAGGTTTATTGGTTATACTTCCTGTACATGGTGATGCTGCAAAGCACATGGTGATCAAGTGGGAAGCCTCTGGCATTAAAGGGAGGATCGGACAAGATAACGGGCCGCTTGTTAACACTGATGGAATCCCACTTGGGATAGGGTTCACCAAGTTGAGGAATGGGTGCTTTTAGCCTGATGTGGTCACATGAATGAGACAATAAAATGTATCTGTGGCTCTAACATCTTTGCTGGTTCTTTCACTACGGTACTTCACACTGGATCCTATGGCGTTCATGTGTGAAATTCTGCCATGCGCTTCCTCTCCCTGGTGCAGCTTTAGAGGGTCTGATAGCATCTGTTTCCTGGGCCGTATGTTTGGCCAACGTGCAGGCTTGTCAGATGATAAAGCAGCAGTAGTCATATGTTGTCACACCGAAGAGAGAAAACAAGACCCATGCCAGATTTTTGTCTGGTTATTGTTCATTGTGTGGCTACATTTTTTCCACTCGCTCACACACATCTTTTGAGAGCTCAACAGAAAAGTGAAGCCCACTGACCAGCCGAATTCTACGCTGCTGGTTCTCATTAGGGTCGCAGGTGAGCTGGAGCCTATCCCAGATGACTGAGGGCAAGAGGTGGGGTACACCCAGGACTGGTTGCCAGTCAATCCCAGGGCACATATGGACAAATACCCAGTCAGACTCATATTCACACCTTAGGACAATTAAGGTTTCAGTTAGCGTAACATGAATGATGTTGGAATATGCCCGGAGAAAATCCATGCAAACAAGTCAGTCAAATGAAGTCTGTTTCCAAGGCACATCCAATAATAATTGCCGGTGTGCCAGATGTAAAAAGTGTGTACAATGCAGTTGTCCAGTAACTCTGGAGTATATTTGACTATCGTAAGTTAGTAAGGTTGTAGATCAGTGAGTAAGTACACAAGTAAGTAAATGCCAAAGTAGGTATGTGCGTCGGTCACTCGGAAAGTGAATAAGCATGTAGGTAAATAAGTATGAAGCAATAGGTTAGTTGGTAGGAAAGTACCGTAAGTTAGCGGGTTATGTTGTCGTACATTATTTCAGGATTGTAGATTGAATCTTAAAACGGTGCAAATTAAATTACAGTCTATACACAACATGTTCTGACATATCGCCTAATCATTTATTTCTCCAATCAGTTTTTGGAAGAGGCCCCTCAATTCCTCCTGAATCATAATTCTTCGTCTGACCAAGAAATTATGGACATTCTATACTTTGGACTTGGTGGGATCACTTCGGGGAATGTACTTTACCTTTTCCACAGCAAGGTCCACGAAGGCAAGCTTGGCTGAGTTTGGTGTGGATCAACAATATCATTTTTCTGTTAAGATATTGTCATATTTGCAGGGCCAATTCTGACCCTTCCGTGAGTGAGACATCTCTCACAGATGGTGAAGAAGGAGAATGCGCCCAGCAGGCCTGACTGCGCTGCAAAAACCTTGTGACTGTAATTTGTGTTAAAGTGGTGACATTGCAAGTGCATGAACACTCAACGGAAGCAATACAACAGCAGTTATTGTAATAAGATGCTCTGATTCACAGCAACCAGAAAAATGATCACCGTGTGACAATGAATTGTTTGCTATGTCATTCTGTCCTCACACTTAAACAATTTCAATTGTGTGGACTGTGACAGGATGATTTTTACTGCAGTTATATTTGTGACCTTTGAATGTATTATGTCCCTGCCACAAAGGTTTAACTTTTATTTTCAAATTAATTTGTTAGTGAGCGAGATTACTTTTTAATCGAGTAAAACTGCACATTTTTCAGTGGCATTTTATTGTGGGCAGCCTAAGGCACAATCCTTTTTAATTAGCGTCATATGCAATCAAGTGAGGTGGGTGGATTATATTATTTTATGCTCATCTGAGATTATCACCATGTCCGGTAAATAAACAAAAAGAAAAAGAAGATATGATTATTAAAGTAACATTATTTTGACCGAGATCGTCAGACAGAGCGTATCCCTGTCTGACGATAAGTAAGGGTTGAGTGCAATTGTAGCCCCCTTTTCCATAAATATACTTTTTTTTCAAAACAAAATAAATTCAGTACACGTATGCTGAGAGTAATGATATTAGATTTTATTTGATTAATATTTTACCTCCCACAGGCGGCATCTTTCACATTTTTGTGCAAAACGATGTATCATACGCATCATGCGAGATGAGACGATGACAGCCACACAGGAAACCATTTTGGTAAAAATACACTTACCGGTACATAAGGCAAAAAGTGACCAAGGCTACTGCAGGTCGAGAAATATGGCCACTAGGTCACAACATGACGCCCATAAATCATATGACTTGGAATTAACCAACAACAGAGCACCGGGCCACATCAAAAAAAGTGCAGACTTTGCTTTGAACGGCTTTGAAGGCACCCATATTAACATTAGAAAAAATGTCACAATAAGTATTCATGCCAAAATGAATATCTCGTCTCGTCTTGTATGGGTTTTTTCTTGATGATGTGTCCATGCTCTACATACACAGTGACATTCTCACAGTGTATGAAGTGCTGCTTCCATGAGTCAAAATGTCATTGTTTTTGAACCTTCTGTTATATATTGACAAATGTATGTCACAGATGTTTTCATAAAACACATACACAGTGTTTTTAAAAATCCATAGTTTGTCCCCTTCGAAAAACTTATTTCATTCAGTTGGAATAATTTTGAGGCCGATGACTTGTTGTGAAGGTTAACACCATGTCTTTCTCCGTAGACGAGTATGGGACAGACCCAGGACAAATTAGAAGGCGGAGAACAGACCCTTGTTGAGGAATTGGAGGACGCACACTCCGACTGTGGAGATTCAGACAGTCAATCAGATGATGTCATGAAGACAGGAAGTGCCTGTGAAGAGGAGGCTGGCAGCTCAGAGGGAAAAAAATATTCAGTGGAGCCAGACACGGAAGATTTGGATGAAAGTCACAATCAGGACTTAATAACACTTTCCAGTGAGAGGCACATCAATTTGTGGGTGAGGCAGTTTACTCCAAGCGAGGTGAAACAGGAAGGAGTGCCAGGAAGTGGTCCAGGAAGAGAAGAAGGAAGAAGGGCCACTCCGTTGGGTTCAGCAGGCCAAAACCGAAAAGGTAGAATAACAACCGAGGAAAGAGCTTCGACATACAAGGTGTTGACTAAAAATAAGATTGGAGAGAAGCGTGCTGAGAAGCAGTTTGAAGTCTCCACAAAGATCAAAATGGAAGACCATTGTGAGGGCAACCAAAACAAATGCGACTTGTATGGCCATATCGCGCCCTCTTGGGATTCAGACTCTCTAATCCTACAAATGGAAGCAAACAAAGCTCATCAAGACACTGATCTATCGAATTCACCTGCAGACACCGAACCCGGTTTTATTTTGGAGAAGCTGCTGAAGAGAAACCGAATTGAGACGTGTCCATCTCTGGAAGAAATACAGGAGGTGGAAACTGATGAATTGGACATGGAGCTGGATATGACCACGCCTGTTGCTGCAGCAACCGAATTCACCACTGAGGAAAGGAACACACCGGCATACAGCACCCGGAGCATATTATCATCATCTACAATCAAAGCAACACAGGGCGACTTTGAAGTGGAAGATACTGCTGACCGTTTGACCAAAAAATCCAATTTTTGCACAAGTGATATGGTGAAGAAATCCACAAAGGCTCCAGACAACAAGGCAATCATTCCAAATAAAGGTGCTTTAAACCCGTTACAAACTGCTTTACATGAAAGAAGGTCTTGTGAGGGCAAGTCTGTGACCACTAAGGAGGCCGCGCCATCCTTTCAGCCTGCTCCACTGATAGAAAATGATGACCATACAGCAAACTCAGAACATATGCCCCAAGAAAGTGATGACCAAATGACAAACTCTGAACATCTTCCCCCGAGAACAAATGAAGATGCCAGCTCAATTTCGATCCCATCCAAGACAAGAGAAAGTTACCCGAGGCAGAATGTTCCCACGACAAACAAAGAAACTGAAACACCAGAGCAGCCTGACAAAAAATTCGTCAGGGAAAGTGATGCTGGAGTTTTAATGAGAGAAAACCCCGCCGACACTGGCAGGTCGAGGCCTGTCTCTGATCTCATAAAAGAAAACATACAGCTCCATGAGAAGCGTCTCCACCAGGATTGGTCCAAGCCCGCTGAAGTCAAATGCGACGAGCATAGTCAGTCTGTGAAGGTAGCACAGATGAAGGCCACCTTTGACTCACCTCACAAATCCCCAGAAAAACGAATCGAGAGGAAGCCTTCTGTCAGAAAAGGTAAGGCCTTTGCAAACTGTGGGACCACAAAGTCTCAGTAATAACGTGGATGGGACATGAGAGCATAACAGCATATATTACAGTAATGAATGAGATGCTTGAGGGGGAGCTGCTTTATGCAATTTACCATCTGCTTTTTTAAAAGAGTTTTAGCAGACATTTTTACCTCAAACACACACACACACACACACACACACACACACACACACACACACACACACACACACACACACACACACACACTGGTCAAATTGAAAAGCAGTATCTGAAACAAGATGACAAACATGGCTTTAATAAAGTAAATAAGCAGACATTGAAACTTTGTAAAAAAACATGAAAAAAACTAAATACCATTAATTTCAGTATGTAAGTGCTTAAACTAAAATGCCTGGATTTTTTTCTGTAAAAAGGGGTGCTTGACTGGCTCACAGGGGGACTGAGAAAATAATTCCTAAATATATTTTAGAATATCAAATACAATCCTGGAGGGTTTAACGGGGGCTAAACCGGTTTCTGACGGACTCCAGCACACTGGTGGAGCGCCATTCTGCTACTTAATCCTTGCAGGTTTAATAACTGTTAATTGTTCTTGTGGGCCCTCTAGTGGTCACGGGTGTCTAAGCAGATGCTTCCTTCTCTTCTGCCTTGGGCTTTGCAAGCAAGGCAGGAATGAAAAGCGTACAACTGCTCCTAAAAAAAAAAAAAAAAAAAAAAACGCATCCATACAGCAGCCAGCCAGCGGCAATCGGCGTCGGACTTACTCGTCTCTGGGATGTGGGAAACCAGGGCCTGGGGCTCCTGGGGACCCTCGGTATCACAGAGAGCCGCCTCCTTCAGCCCATTCTCATGGGCAGCGGGGGCCCCCACCTGCCCAGACTCTGGGCCAGGGCCAAGGGCGAGGGATGGTGTCCCAACACCCTCACCTGTCTCCTGGGGCCCCTCAGCCTAGAAACACACAACAGGGTGGGGCAATTAAATGGAGATGGCACAACCTGGCTCCAAATCAAATATCGCTGCAGTTGAAAAAAAAAAAAAAAAAAAAAAAAAAATCGCCTTATCACAGAACTGACGCTGATTGTTTCATAAAGGTGTCAATCAAGTCCGCTGTACTAATCAGCCACCGCCAAACCGGGCCGGGGGGCGGGTGTATCTCCTGAGCAGGGAAAGCGCTCAGACAGGAAAGCAACTTGGATCAGTCTCGAGTGGATTCGTTGGACTTGCGTCGTTTTATATCACTCTCTTTTTCTCGGGAATATTTTCAAATTTCCTCACAGAAGGTAAGTCATGTATTGTTGTTGTGTTTTTGAAATGGTTTCTGTTTGGTTACCCCGACTCTCAAAAAGTACACGCCTTATATCGATTGTACAATGAGTGGTTTTAAGCTAACCTTAGCCGGCGACGGCACTTAACCCATCTGCCAGTGGGAAGGAAATTGTTGTTCATTGGCGATATACAGGTTGCGGTTCGCTTGGATGTGTGATCGACGTTAATTGCGGAAGTAGGACCCGCAGCGGGGGGAAGTGAGTGGGGTGGCGAACCTTTGTGTGGCAGTAAAAACTTAGATCTGCGATGAAGCAACGGAGGCGGAGGTGCAGCAGGCAGAGAAGCCGCGCCCTGGCCCCTGGCACCATGCACCCACTAGTTTGCACCTTCACAGACGACAGGAGTTCCCCGGACATATTACAAGCTACTGGTCTTATTTTATCATAATGCCTAGTTAGCAGTAGCCACGACAAGTTGACAGCAATGTCGTGAATCTCTGCCACACATGGTTGTCTGGGAAATTCCACGACAAGTTGACAGCAATGTCGTGAATCTCTGCATTGTCTGGGAAATGATCATCACTCAAGTCACATTCAATGAAATGAATGTTTCATTAAAGCTTCAGCGTTTACATTTTACGAGGATTCTTTAAATCTGAGAGAACATCAGTCGTCCTTAAGATAACTGACAGTCTGGATAGTCCGCTTTAAATTATTTTCACACCTCAAGAATTTTTTCAATGCAACTGTTCCCAACCTTTACTGAGCCAGGGCATTTTACCACTTGACAGAAACCGGAAATGAATCTTACTGCACTTGACCTGACAAAAATGTCACAGTAAATGGAAATACTGTACAGGTTCATTATGTACCTTCTACGTCTGGCGAAATATCATGTAATTGTCATAGATAGTTGAACAAAGAGGTTATTTGTATAGATAAAATAATTTATGTGAAATCTGTTCATTTCCCGTGGCACACTGGTTCGGAAACACTGAAGTACTTTAAATTGGGCAATGACTTGCTTCTGCCATGAGTCAGTTTCACTCAAATTGTGGTATTGCTCTGTTGGCATTGCCCTTTTTGGATGTCTCAACTTTTATTGCCCCCTCATCAACATTGTTTTCACAACATCCTAATTAATCCTCATTTAAAAGCTTTTGAACTGCAGAGAGCTCAGATTTCTTCTGCATGCCCGAGAGAATAGCTAATAAAGACAGTGGCTGTAAAAGTGCAAGAGGAGAGCATGATTTGTGGATTTTGACCCCCACTTAAAAATGCTACTCTAGCGTTGGTGTGGTGTTGTGAGTTCCAGGAGTTTCTTTGCTGAGTCCAACTTGAGGATGAATGCTGCTGACTCAGTTACTGTCCCAAAGGCTTGATGGTCGACAGCTGTGTTTAGACTCGTGAGCCATTCCAGATGCACCGACTTGGAGTAGTTGTGCTGCAGTGCAAGGTCTTTGAAAGTGCGTTGATTGCCTTCCCATGGTCTGGCTATGGAAGTGGGTCAGGAAGCAAGAGTTCAACAAGAAATGCCAGGGACGTCTGTGTTGGTTGGATAGTAAACAAGGCATTCTATATGTGGTTGTTGTTGTTTTTTTGTTTTTGTCCAAAGTAGTAGTATTTGTTATTTGTATTCAACCACCTTATTCATTAATTTTCATTGACTGTTAGATTTAATTTTGCAATGTTTGTAATGTAGAATGACTACCATATTTTCATACATTGCACTACATAAAAAGGCATAGTGTCAGTTACGGGTGCTATTTCTGTATTTAACATATCCACAAGACGCATTGTATCATAGGACACAGGCATGGTAAAATGTATGCTAGTTAAAAAAAATGTGCTAGCATGCAGGCTCGCTAGCGTATGTTTTTAAAAAGGCAGGTGGAGCAAAACTGAGTTTGGTTGTACTTTATTGAAGTATTTAACAATGTCACGTTATTTTTTTTGATCAATACTCATCCTCAAATCCATCAAAGTCCTCATTTTTTGTATCCCAAATGCACAACTGGGCAAGTTTTTAATAAAACATGCCAGGTTCCCTCACGTCATTGTTAGAGTTAGTCTCGTTGCTGTGCGGCTTCTCAGAAATGATGGCGGCTTTTGCAAAAGCTCGGACAACAGTGCAAGCAGGCTCAATCCATTCACAAATTGTGGCGTAAATCGCCCGACGTGGCCTCCCAGTCTTAGTAAAGCTGTGTTCGCCATCGCTCCCATGGCGCGCGCAACTCCACTTTGGTCGTTTCTGTCCATTACTGTGGCAACCAAGAGCAATAGTAAAAGCTGACTTCTCGCGCCCTGTTGTGCATATTGCGACCGTGCTGATCCCCGTCTTCTCTACAGTGTGGTTCAGCTGGATGTCGAAAGTGAGCGACACCTCGTCCATGTGGGTGATGTGGTTGGGCTGGTTTGTGGATGGTCGGCAATCTTTTTGTTGTCATTCAGAATGCAGAGTATGCTTGTCCCTCATTACTTGCCATAGCCCAAACGGGCATGTAGGAATGTGAGGATTGGTTGACCGGTACAATAAAGGATTAAAATATTCAAGAGTGTCTTTATTTAATCTAACACATAACACAGCGCTTTTTCCTGCAGTAGGAGAGGAAGATGGACAGCTTTTCCTTTAGCTTGGCACCCAGTGACAGTAACCAGACCAACATTACTGTTTTTCGAGCTGCTCTTTTTATCAGTACAGTTTTGTTTATCAGACCAATAAATATGTCATTTTTTCCCTACTATCAGTATGATAATTATCGGTCAAAAAGTTACTCTGCATCCCTTTGTCCGGTTTTCAGTCAAAACGGCTCTCTGAGGAAAACTACGATATGGCCCACGACAAAAATGAGTTTGAAACTCTTGCGCTAAATCAAATATGTCTTAGTACTCATGGCTGTTCTGCATGCTTTGTGTATATAACCTTTACCTCTTTATCACAGTTCAATTGCATTAGATACTTTTTTTCTCTGTGTCACTCTGCACAGAGTTGAACGTTGAGCCCATTTTGGAATCGTCTGCAAATCTCATTTCCTCTACAAAATATGAAAGTATACAATTGCATTACTTGATACAATGTTGTGTGTGTGTGTGATGCATTTATGCTCCATGGATACTTGGATGGAGCAGATGTGTGAGTAGACCGCTTGGTAGGTGAAAGAAAAACAGCACCCTATCTCAGTGGTCCACAAAGCTCTGGAATGTAGCAAAGAATCTGATCACAATGGTGGTCTGAGGCCTTGGATACAGGAAGGGGATTTAGGTGGCGTCCCATGCAGTCTTCATGACAAAAGACGTGGGTGTGAAAGTTATCATAACGACTGTAATGCCTCTCTCATTCCAGTATCTAAACATTGTATGAAAACAGAAAAAGCCTCTTTATGCACTTGCCATGTTTTTGTTGGTAATTGAGTTTTTGTGGTACAGACACACCATAATTACTTGTCTGCATGGTCTGCTGGACTAAAGTAAGAGATAAGTTGGAAGAACACTAACCAATACTCTAGCGAAATTGCCAAAACAACAAAGACCCCCCACAAACCCCCCCCCCCCAAAAAAAGAAAAAAATACATTAAAATAAATTTGATATATGTCAATCTATTTGCAATTTTGCATATTCATTTACTGGAAGAAGAAGAAAATGTCTTTGTCATGTACACACACACACTCATTTTTTAAATTGGATCTGATGGCATTGTCAGGCCACCAGGAGCCAATTTTTGGTGGCTCTATCAGAAG